TTGATTAATAGTATTTCACGTTTTAGTTAACTTAATTGCAAATTGCGATAGCGATGGAAATTGAGTTGCACCAATGTTTATTTTAATCAACAAATTGTTACATTTGTTAGTAAGGGTAGTTTGAATGTAAATATATATTTGAATTTATAATTTAATAAAGATGAAAACTAATCAAATATGCACTCAGCGAATATAAAGCGACGAAAAGACTGCTTACATTACAAAAAAATTTTTCTGATAACACTCTAAATAATAAATAATTTCTTTTTAATAATACTCTGTCAAAACTGTTTTATCAGTAATTTATACGTAAATGTGTTTAACAATATATTTTACGAAAAGTTTCAATTTGAGACTTTTAAGGAAAAATGCTTCACAGGGCCTTTTTACTTATATAATAAATGGTTACTATTATATTTTAGTTCTATATTTACAGTCCTAATTGTAAGTTTCTGTTCTCGCATATCGTTATATCCCTAATTACTGTTTCGCTACAAATTGCATCATATCGCGACTGGTGACTGATATTTTATCAATTGTGCTATGCGATATTTTTACCTTTTCTGTGACGGTTCAGAGTCGTTCTAACAAAAGAAAGAACGTGTGCTAAAAAGATTGCAACATTTATTTAACATATATCTCTAATTGCCATCGTCTAATTCACTAGTTCGCTCAATGTGCCTCGACGTATATATTATTATATATAGAATATTACATAGACACAATAAATATAATCTATACATAGAAGCAGGTAAAATATAGTACATCGCTCATTTGTTATAACAATGATATAACTCAAAAATTGCTATTTTTTAGTTGCTTGCATAAAAGAATAAAAAAAACATGAAAAAACATAAAATATACTTTAAAAGAACATGCTTTTATTCCTCTACAATCAGTTATTATTGTACATCAAAATTGCATTTCAAAATTAATATTACAAAATTATAATAATTCAAACATTCAAACTCATTTTCTAAAAAAATCTTTGTTTTTTTAATTGTTGTTTTATATCGTTGTATAATAAATGAGCAATATGTGCGTAGATGTGTATAAATTATAATTTTTGTAGAATATTTATAATTGAAAAATTAATTACTTATTTGTAAAATTACCAACTAAGAAATAAGAAGTATTTTTTTATTATATCTTTACTAAATTATTCTTTATGAAATCTTTTATCCATTGGATCCAATTCTATAACACAAATCTTTTGTGTGATGTCTTTATAATGTTTTCAGGATTACTTATTGATACGAATCTAAAACAATTATCGATAATTACCTGTTGATTATTTTTGAGAAACCTACAATCATCTCTCGCGAAAAACCCGAGTTCTCTGTAGATAGATGAACATACGCGCGGCTTCTCGGTCACATTCGTATCCGTAACCTCGATGCAATCATCATACAGGTTTCATAGTGCAAGCAGGTGACTGAGAGGGGTAGAGAACGAAGAGAAGAAAATGAAAAGGGAAGAGCAACGAGGTGGCGAGGCAAGGGCGAAGGAAGTCGCAGCGCGCTTGCATTGTTCGCACAGCTGTTTACCCAGTTTTCCAGCAGCAGCAGCGATGCATTGCGATGCTAATTTTGTCTGCATTGTGCGACGATATACGCGCATGCATTCATCGCGCGTCTCGGTGGGTCGAGAAACGCGGAGGGGAAAAGTAAAGAGAAGAATGCCTCGATCGTGATCTATGCGGCGATTCACGTCACACCAGACGAGCTAGTCTCGTATTTGTGAGAACACGATCGTGGTGAATAATTCAAATGATTCGAATCAAAATGTTGAATTGAAATGGAATCCAATATTTCGTAATGGCCATTTTTTAAGATTATTGTTGGTTTCTCTACCAAGATTTGTATCTGCAACTTTCTTTACGAAAATTTTTATAAAATGACCATTTTCCACTATTTTATACTGTTGTTACATTTATACGTTTTTTTTCCTCGTGTTTTAAATAATATGTCTTAAAAAAAGAGTTTTTAACCCGCGCAATAAACCACCGAGCTGGTTAGACTGGTGCGCAATTAACACGAACTGCAATCTACTTCAGACCTCCCAGTTTTCAATTTTATATTGCACGTTGTTGCGTCACAAATTGTCGAGGATTATCTATCCGGTGTATAACGAGGCGAAGGTGACGATAACGGCGGCTAATGAAAGCCCTTGCGCAGTTGATGACTCGGTCGGCCGATCGTGATTAACCACGCTCATTCGGAAACTCGCCATGAGCTAATCGCAAACGTTATCTCCGCAAGGTGTGCAACACGTTAATCGTTCTGCACGGACGATACGCCAGGTAAATATATTGCGCATCACGCAAAAATGTCGTTGCAAAACGCGAATGGCGTAAGGCGCCTTGGAAGAAGGTTGAATGGCACAAGGCACTTTCAAACTGGCAAAAAAAAAATCAAAAAGTCTTTGTATTGTACAGAAAAAACATCGTCTATAAATTTAAGATCTATATATAGACATCAAATTTTATTGAAAGCTAATTTGAACATGACGGGATATAAGATCTGGATTTGATTTGATATTAGCAAGAAAAAAAATTGTGAACGTCAAACATCGCAACGCGTGATGTAATCGAGTGAGCTGTCCAGTATTGCAAAAATAATTAGTCTATTTTTCGAAATTTACATTTTTCTGTGACGTAAAATTGTGTCTGTATAAGATAGTGGTGTGGCAATTATGGGTTTTTTGCTACCTCATCGCCGCGAAGTAGAGTAATTAAAATACTCTGGTACACGCGTGTTTCGTTTCCAATCATTACGTTTTTTTTACTGATCTTTCGTTTTACAATATCTGCTTTTTGATGATCTAGAGAGTTTATAAAAAATTATTAAATATCATTGTCACCCAAGTTTGATGTCTTTCATTTTGTTAAGTGACTTGACGTTGACATTACATTTATTGCCATATATTTTAATACAATTATAACGTGCCCGTATAACCATAGTAATTTATATAAACGGTGTTAAAAATAATCAATATTTCGTTTGCAATTTTTAAACAGTAGAGCAAACAATGTTTGAATTTGACAGTTCGTTTGTTACGCAAAATGAATATAGATATATGTAAAAGAAGATAATATGCTATCAATTGATAATTGGTGATACATAATCTTGACCTAGATACAGTTTCGAGTTGATGCCTGTCGCAGCGAGTTCAACATCGCGATTACACGTTTAAATCCAAGGTTATCACGAAGATAGCCCCTGACCCCTCTTAACTCGTCTAGGATACGGTGAGTTCAAGTAAGCGAGACGACAACTTGCCTCTCTCCTAGGAGAGAGCAGCCAATAGAGAGCGATTCCGACGGCGGCGCCGACGCACTCGGTTCTCTCCTACTCTCGTGAGATGGTCTGCCGAATCAAATCTAACGACGAATATCTCGTGCGCGCGCACGGCCGCTCCGGAGAGTGCCTATTGGCGTCTGTAGCCGGGCGCCAAGTTAAGATGGACGTTATGCAATGGTACCCTAGATCATGGACCACGCATTTGTAATGTTATTAGACAGCATCGTCGAAATCTTCAGCTCCTAGTCTTAGAATGACTTCGAGTAAATTTCGATCAACTTAACCGGTGCTTAATTTCTCAAGGGAACACTATATCTGTACTATTAACTTTAACATTAATAGAATTAATAGTTTTTTATTGTTTAACATATATGAAAATTAGAGACAATGAATTATACAGCTAGAAATTTTGCTTCAAACAATTCTTTATATGAATTGTTGATTAAGACAGTTTTATAGTATTATTCTTTTATTGATGGTTCGTCTTTAGACGTTAATGATATGGAATTAAAAATTAATGGGGCTATCTAGCTTACATATCCTAATTAATAATTCACATTGAATTTTAAAAGAAATTTTATGACGCAGTATTATAATAAAATATCATATTTGATTTCAAAGAAATTGTATTTGCTACTGTAGAAAATTACTACAGAAATATATAGAACACAATATAAGAGTGGCAACGTTATTAAGATTCAGCAGATTAACCTTGTTGAACAGCTAGATCTATTTTTAATTACCAAGTGAATTTAATCTGGCTGGATTTGTTTGATAAGCCTATTAAACTTATTTATTTATGTACATGTTTATTGTGTAATAATGAAAATTGTAAAAGTTATAAACAGCCATTATTTAATAATAACCATTTTGAAATGGTTTAACAATCTAAACTTATCTCTGTATTTAAAGGGATATTAATCGCGATTAGATCATTATAATCGGGATAAATTCGTGATAAAGATTTTGTATAAGCTATAATCTCTTATGCAGCCAAGACACCGCCGCGCCGTGCCTGAGAATCTGTCACGTGCTATCGCCGTAAGCTAAACAGACACGCGATCAAAAAATTTCAATTGCAAAACAGGCAAGTACAACTTGAATTTAAAAATATAACCCAACGTTGCTCCATCGTTTCTTATGCGCGGGGAGTCGCGGAACCGTTAATTAACCGACCGCGACGATCCACGGCGCGTGTCGTGCGAAATGACGGCCACGTCGTTTCAACGGGGACAGCTCGTTCACCACGTTCTACGCGAATACATTAATTCCAATCGCCCTTTGCGGGGCAAATCCGCTATTGAGAATTTCGTCTCGAAACATTGATACGGTCGAACACCTGCACCTCCCTTCTGCTATACGGCTACGGCGAGGAGGAAACCGCCCACTGTTGGTGCAATGCTTAGAACGCATCTCCCGCACTCTCTATCTATATGAGCAGTGGTGGGGTAGATATTGTGGGGAACACACGTTTCTACCGTGCTACCAGCGATTTTCACGGGACTGACGAGGGGTCGAAGGGGAATGGGAAGGAAGACGCGCGCGTCGTCTCGTCTTTTTGCTTCCCACCACGTCGAACGCCGGCGTACTCCACACCACGACCGAGCGATAGTAGGCGGAGCCTCCAGGTAGCACACGAGACCGACGCGCAGGTGAGAGAAGAGCGAAACCTGAGCGAGGAGAGGCAGACCAGGTAAGGGGAAGCTACGGGCTGGCCGACGCACACTCGTCCTCACACGCGAGAGACCGTGCGTGCCCTCCTCGGCCATACCGCGGGGTCAGTCGGGGTCCTGCTCTTAGTCAGGACACTCCGAGACGGAAGAGTGAGAATTTCCTTCTTCATCGCCACTGGTTGACATCCAGACAGCTATCTGTGGTCAAGCTGCCGCCTAGTAATCTATTATCATCGGCTACTCTCGGCGATATACATCGTAGCAGTATTACCACGAAAAAAAAAGGATAAGTCAACGTGCGGCTGACACACAAGAAAATTCTGCCAGGGGATTTAAATCTCCCAGTTCATGATTCTTCGAAATCCAAAATTGGTGCAACTTTAAATATCGAAGAGGAGGCTTGTTTCAAACGGTGACTCACGTCTTCACGATCGACCTTGATGAATCACGTGACTTCCGGAAAGAGACTTCGATCGGTGGTGAACGGAACCAGTTCCAAGGCCGTCCAAGAGAACTTTTGATCTCGCGTTTAACGAGCGCCTGAGACCGCGTGCTTCCGCGAAAGTATACCTGTGCGTAGAAGGAGGCGACGTGTGCCGAAAGTTTGACGTTTGCCAAAGAAATCTGTGTGATTCACGCCAAACTGATCTGATAGGCACAGTGCGCGGGGATAGTGCGCGGCTCCATGAGCGGCAATTTTAGCGCATCGTTCTCGCATCGCTGCAACACCTGAACGTGATGTGTGGTGAGTAAAGGATCTGCAGGTTAATATCGTTCATGGATACACTTGTTAATAATCGCCGCGACAACACCATGGCACTCGCCAACTGATTTAACTCTCTAGTAAACTTCGACGATCGCAATTACTTCGCATTTATCACGCACTTTTCTCATCGCACGCACTTGCCGAGAGTTACGTTTCATTCTATGCGTCAGGTTTATATATCACGTAAAACGGATATCATGTAGAAGGATTGATAAGAGAAATTTATAAAATTTGTGATACAAGTTTTCAATGATTATATACGTCAAAAGGAAAAAGAATTGCAATAAATTAGATAATACAGAATTAAATTTGTTATAAAATATTAAAATTTGATTTGTTGTGCGTTTTATGATTTTATCGAAAATCGATGTATGCATAATTTCTTCAGATAGAAAAAGATCGGAGACCAGTATATCGAATCTTGCTATCAGTTACGAAAAACATGGGCGAACATAAATAATAATAAATTTTTATCTTATATGAGAATGTGTCAAATGCCACATGCACACTATTAATCATCAACCTTTCTGTCGATCGAAGTGATATGAATTTGATTTTTAACATCATACGATGACACGATTTAAAGCTGATTTAAAGTTTTGACCTCCCTTGTAACTTTCCACGACGTCAATCGTAACTCTTATCAGAAGTCAGAGGTAGTCGCTTGTGTTTTTTTTCCGCCGATCCGCACCTGATCTTTATCATCGTCTTAAACGTTACGGTTTTTCAAAGTGGTCTTCGTGCAGATCGCTTTTGTCCTCGTCAACTTCTTGAACGTATTCCGCGATTATTTTGACGTTTAACATTTTAAACAGGTACATTTGCAAGTTTATCGCATTTTTTTCGTGACATGAAAGTACTTGTTATAACTTGTTGTAACAGTAATAATGTTTAATTGTTAATAATAATAATTTATTTGTTAATAACAATTGTTAATATGAGCATTTGAAGTCCGCTCAGAGTTGTTTCGTAATTTTCGTAAACAAAATTATAGCCGATATTACTTGAAAAAATTTTGAACATCGGGTTTGTATTATTGATTGTGTTTTATCGTATTTTATAGATGATTTATCTTAAATTTTCAAGAGACGATTTTCAAGATCTCGTCATATTTTTTAAGCAAACTTCCGCCGCCAAGTCACACATCTACAGCACTTTTATCCCACGACGTACCATCATTTCAGTCTTGATGGGATTCCGTGTGATTCTTCTGTAAAGAAACATACAGATTGTTTGCACAATCTGCTCTAACGAGCGGTATAAACTTTCCATTTCTGTCATTTTGTTCAACAGTCATTCATAATTCTATAATTTCGGATATCAAAATCTCAACTGATTCATTCCGTACGACTTTAAATCCATATATCTAGCATGTAAAATATATCTTTTCTCTGGTAAGAAATTTTGTCATTTATCTGCATTTTAATGAAACTTTATTCGAATCCTTTTTTATTTATAACACGAAAATGTGAATTTTTGTATCCTGAAATTTTGAATTTATTTTAAAACACATTCATTTTTATCTGATTTGACTGACCATTTTGTTAAGTCGCATATATTTCATATATCTTAAAATAAACTTGTTTATTCTACTGCTTGTGTTTCTACTTTCACAGACGATTAGACTTAATAAAACGCAAGTAATGTTTATGAAGGTAACGTTCATAAAGCGCACGGCTTCTTATACAAATGAAAGATTTTAGCGACGCGCATATATTATCGTAATCGCAAAAGCGAAAAAGTTTACTGCGGATAAGCCACACGATGATAACCACAGCACGAGGCATTAGAATAGCTAGTATTTTAAACACATCATGAATGCAAATGTTAGAAACACGTGTAAATTTCCAAAACATCGTCGCACTTTGGCCGCTTACATAAAATACGATGACTATGCACACTCTCTACTACTGTTGAAAAAATAATAAAACATTGATATAATTATTATTACGTTTTTCCACAAAATATAATAAATAGTTTTTTTTTAAATAAAACATTGCAAAGAAACTTTTCTTTAATAGATCAAGTTCTTTAGTTCTACGTTCTTTTTTATTAAGCGCAAATTTTAATTTGGGTATTTACGATAAAATTTTTGCACAATAGGGGACATTTTTCAATTCAATTTATTAAAATAAAATTTATGCATTATTAAATGCATAAATATATTATAAAATGCATTATTTTAGCTTTTTGAATACTTCATAATGTGTAAATTATTTTAAAAAATTTTTATTTTTAATAATTTATTTTAAACCCATTAAAAATGTATATTAAATATTGTATTATCACCATAATGTCACTAGCTTGTGTAATATTGAAAAATTGCGTTTGTCTTTAAAATTAAAAATTGAATGCTTATTTTAATCTCCGTTCGAAAATGCAGCGACGACGCTGGCTGTTAGTTAGTCCAAAAATCCGTCTTAAAGAGACTCAGACGGGAAGAACGTCTGACACTTGTTCACACAGCTTAATCAAGACTTCGCGTAAATATTCATGATTGTTTTTCGAGATTTCACGACGAGTCGTTACGGTGGGAGTTACTTTCGTAATTAACGAACAAACAAGGTTAGAGCCGTTTACGAGGTCCGACGTCCCGTTTGTCATCAATTAATCGATTCGTTAATTGGCAGATGTCGTCTTATTGTCTGCTATATCATTTGAATTTCATAGAGCGAGATGTTACATACACGCTGTCACTAGGTGTAAAAAAATTTTAAAAACATGATCGGAAATTTCCATCAATACAACGTAGTAACATTGCTTATAAACAAAAAATTGTATTTGATTCCGAAATTCGCATGAATTGAATGCGTTTCGCATTCATGAGAACACCATGAGTCAGAAGTGATTAATGGTAATTAAAAGAATTCCATCTGGCCGCTATTAATTTCCACGGTAAGAAAACGAATGGACTCATTGACTCGGAATTCATTTTGTGTAAATGTGAAACCTATTAAACCTCAAGTGTGAGATTAAGAAATGACGTAGTTAATGTACCTCGAATCTGTTAAAATGACAGATGGCCACGCGCTAAATCAATCAATCTTCATTAATCGAAGATTTTTGTTATTGCATCGATTATCACACACGCTTGTGCAGTTTGTTATCGTTTGCCTTGAATTTGTTACATACTGAAGATTGCAAAAACGCCGTCGTTTAGCGTTCACTATTAAACACGTTATGCGAAAACGAAATTGACATTGAACGCTAACACACCCGAAACGACAGATAAAATATATTTTTTTTTAAATTTACATTATCCATTGTTTTTTTACTTATTCTGTCCAATCGATAATGATTAAACGCAACAATGAACGGAGTATAAATTCTACGTAAATATATTTTCATGTTGTCGTACATTATATTTTTATATTTTATTGTGTAATATAAATTATATTTTAATTTACATATTGTATTTTCTCGGAACTCTTTACATAATGTTATCGATATTTCTGTTTAGTGTTATCCATATTTTATTCCTAGTCGTCGCGCAAAATTGAAAGACTAGCAGGAAATCGTGTTCGCGACGTTCATGATTTATTCTCACTCGTGCAACAAACAATACGTGGTTCTTTATTTTGTGGAGCGACATGATGCATTGACGATAATAATGCAGAAGTGCAGCATGATATATCGTTGAATTGGCCTCACCTGTCTAAATACGTGTCTATCTAATATCGAGACCTCGAATTTCAATACAAGTCACTGAAAACTTCTCGTGTCAAAATCGTGGCTTTCGAGATATTTCATTGACGAGAGTCAAACCATTTGCGTCTCAGTCTCATTTCTCTGAAAATTTATTAGACTCAAAACGAAACTCGATTCATCACTTTTCTGTTCTTTCCTTTTTGCTGTTGAATTATTATTTATGTTATCTGCCAAAAAATTACACGACGCTTATCGACATGCTTTTCTTCCTTTTTTTTTGCAACTATGTAAGACGCATCGTAATGAGCTCGTTTCCCTTTTCAATTCGTCTGAAATCGAGGAATAATAACTCAAATAAGCATTCTCCGACGATTGGCAAGCAACTACACATCGTGCACCGTTATCTATGGAAACGAGTAACAAATTCTCGCTGGCGATGCATCCGCGCATGAATTATGTAGGAATGCGGCTCGTACGAACGCATTACAGATTTATTCAAACAATGAGTAGCGGTTATTAGTCGTAGTTTATGTCCAGACGCGATCCTTATCAATACGGTGGACCTTCGAGCCAGTGATTTACTTCGCGGGTTATCACCGGCTACCCGACACATTGTCGTTTCACGCAAAATGGCTATTTCCACTCGCTCATTCGCGTGTCTTACAAATCACTCGCGCTAGCGAAAAGTTGCATTCGCATCGTGCTCTAACTTGTTAATTATTCGTTCGTTTACAGCTCGTTAAAAAAATATCTCGTTTACTAATACATAATTTTCCATAAACTTACATGATTTAAAATACAAATTTTTTAATTCTCTAACAAAATTTTTTACGCTATAAAATGATATAATATATATTTGTCTAAAAATAGATTAAGAACAATTATGTGTATGCAGCATGTTTTTTTAAATAAAAAAATTATTGAAATTATCGACCATAATATCGAATTGCTTTACGTGTATAAAAACTATATAATTATATTACATAGTTTTTTAAAAAAATACATTGTTTACATGAAAATCGTCGGTGCCGTGACCGATTGAAGTTTTCTCCTTGATTGCATCGATCTGTATCTGATGTAGAATTTCATGATAACTCGAGAAATCAGTACATGGTATATTGCGTGACGGAGAGCAACCTGCGCGCAAATGTATTTATTTTATTATCACTGATTACCACAAGCTGATCGGGCAGTCGGCGCTCGCTTTTGAGAGCCTGTCCCGTCAAGTTTGCGTCGGACGACGCAGTCGGGACATTTTATCGTGGACTCGTCGCGGTGCAGAGTCGCGTCGAGCAATCACATCTGTCCGACCTCGCGCGATTAGGATCTCGTCTCTCGATACATCCGTCCGATACTCTCGTCGCGAGTTGCGCACGCACGATTTATAATTCATTTCGCCGGCCGACAACTGGCCGCGCGTTTGTGATTTCTTTCCCGCGCGCAAATTTTTCTTTTTTTCCTTTCTCTCTCTTTTTTTTTATTCCGTCGTGAATCTGATACACGTGAAACGACGGCGACGACCATCGTCGACAATGCATTAAACGCTGACATGCTCGCGTTAAACGCGGCGAGCATAAATATTCTGTATTCATCGGTGTGCAAGATCGCTGTACGATATGAAAGCCAGCAACGATTTAAATAACTCTCCTAGCGAGGCTGAACGACTGTTATGAATATGGAGTTTCATAATCGTTGGCATTTCTAATTCTCTATTATCGAACGGATGAGATTGGAGTGCAACAAGCGTATAATTTGGGGGAACTCGACGTTTTGTATCGCAGCTCAGCCTCAGTTTATACTTCCTGCAACAAATAATTTGCTGAATTCTAATATGTAGAACGTATATGTATCGCGTTTAATTACTTCATAATATTTAGATCGATACAAATTTTCAAATCGATACGAATGACATATTATATAATTTATACTAATAAATAGTATGTATCTGCAATATGTAAAAAATATCTAATTATACAGAATTGTTGATAATTGTTTGAGATTCTTAATATTTATTTAATCCTAGTTTATGAGAGCGACAAACTGATCCCAACGTTCAGAATAATTCTCTAATATTTTAATTATATTTCTTAAATATTCGATTTAATAGCTATTAATAGCGATTCTGCGTAAAATCCTGCCACAAATAATGCAAATAAGAGTATAATCTGCGTTCACGGTTTATTTTTTACCATGTTTGCAAAGCAAATTTAGAAGATATACGCATACTGCGCAGCGCTATACGCTCTCGCTTTGTAATTTTTTCGATCAACACGATTCAGCAAGCCGTGATTTTAGACTGTAATCATTCTTCGCTTATACGATCGAAAGGATTTCGATCACGATGCTCGCGATCTGCAGATTTTATGCATCACGAAAGAATCTGCTTGAAGGCTCCATGTATTATTCATTTCTCTGTTAACGTATATGTTTCGTGTATGTAATGAACGCGTTTGTGGAATGCAGTCTCTACGTATACTTTTATGCGAAATGTAATTCATACTTAACTGAGTTTCCATAATTTCTTTAGAATAGAAGTTTTATGATCATTTTTCGATATTAAACCGTACAGATAAAGACAAGGAATTGAAAGTCTAAATAATGGGGAGCAAAACAACATAGACAGAAATATGTACTAGAAAATGTCAAAATAATATTTACTGTGTATTTATCTAAAATGCCTATCAAATTTCTTAGAAACGTTTTAAAAATTAAAATCGCGTTAGATATAATCTCTGATAAATGATTCTTTAAAACGGATAAAAAATACCTATTTCACTTTAATGTCTTCGGTTTTAAGCATTTTCGTCTTTATCTATGTAGTTTTAACTAGTATTTAATATTTATATATACTGACTGGAAATTTACTGACTGAAGATTTACAAAAATTATCAAGAAATATCACTAATGGAAGGAAAAGTATGAATATTATTTAATAAAACTTCTGTATAAGTCAAGTTATTTTTGCTATTAAATAAAAGTTTTCCCGCGTTGGACTAAATATCATTATTTTTAATGATCTTTAGAAAAAAATATTTCACAATTTTGGCACGTGCGTAATGATAAGAATGACCAGTTTAGCCAACATAGAATCTACATATACAGATACATGTTTATTGTATTTTAAGTACTTCAAGAAAAGCTTACTGTACTAATAATGTGTCGTTGCGATTTTTAAATTTATATTGTACGCACATTCATGCGTGGGTACAAATAATAAGCCAAGTATTTACTCTCTCGTAATAGAAGCGGTACCTCGAACTTGGCACATGAAACCGGAACTTCATTGCAATCCCGTGGGAGTTCCGGCGGGCGCCTTGTCACCCCCGGCTACCCTCTCGCCACCCGGCAGCCCCAGCATAATCACGCTGCCATCCTCACCTTGGAGTCCAGGTGTATCGGGAAGCAGTTCGAGCACCATTTCATCCACCAATGCACCTTCGGGCCTTTGTCAACCCGTCCCCGATCGTTTCAGCGCCTTCACCCTCGTTTCGAATTATACTCCCGATCTGAGACTGCAAAGTCTACCACTCAGCGCTAGCGTTGCCGCGCGAGGTAAGTCGCGAGAGAGTGGATGGCGTAGATAAGGGAGAAATTTTTGATATATTGTCTGATTTAAATATATTTATCAATCTCTCTGATTATGAGCTACGAAATTTATTTTAAATATTTCTTAAATTCTTTAATTAGATATAATATATATATTTTCATTAATATCCTTTATATTCTTCTGTGTATTATTCTTTTATTGTATATAAAAATATCCCTAATATATCTCATTAAAATATGATGACATAATCCCCAAAAGCATTTTGTAAATTCTTTGTTACTTGAAGATTATCACACTTCCAAATTTCACGCTTTGAACTCACAACAGCATGGTCATCTTTGTCTCAGACATGCGTTGCGGTCTTATGTACGGTGGCTATGGGACATCTGGGGGTGCCTGGTGGGCTCGTCATATTGGCAGCCTGCTGCTGCCACATACTTTGCTCCCGCCTACGAGAATCCCATCCCAACAGACGACGCCGGTCACGAATTGCTCACCCATTCATTCGGAACCTCTCAGTCCGGCGCGTCCCGGATCACCCCGAAGATGTACGCCGGAGAAGGCCAAATTCGGTGAGATTTGATTGAATCTCTCTTAAACCAATCTACAAATGTCTAACGTTATTATGACTGCAAGATAGAGAAAAACTTATCTCTTAAGAAACGCGATCTTATTACATAAAAAGCACTGAATTATACAAAAAATCTCGGAGCATATTATTTTAAATTGCTTTTAAGTAGCACCCTGAGTAATAATTTGCGTAATTTAGTTTATTACCTTAATTATGATTTTTTTTTACTATTTTATGCATTATAAAAAAAATGTTTAATCGCCTTCATACGTTCATAAACATCATGTGTGATAATTGAATATTTGATATTATGTGTATGCAAGTTTAAGTATATAAGAAAATATAAATATTTTAATGAAATAATTGAGTATTTTCACTCGAGAAAGATCATGATTTAGAAGAATATAAGCCTAGTAAAGTCAACTTTCCGAGATAGACTTTTTCCAGCGTTTAAAACGTGCTCTTTTAAAAAAGTAGACCGGTTAATGAGCAATTATCGGTAAGTGGGTGCTATCGATCGACCAACGTTGTCACGAGGCATCATTTATCGCCGCCGCTCGACTTTGCTGTACGGATACTAATTACGATCAATTAATTGCTATCTGCGCATATATATACGATGTGCAAAAACTATAAAATTTCCCCGCCTTTAGTGATGATGTTACATGATCGATCATATAAATTATCACTTTTTTCGATATCGTAAATGTAGCATGAGGTTTCTTGTGTCTTTGTGTATCTCTCCATGTTAGAAATACGCTCATTAAAGTTATGTTTAAGCATATAAACGCTTAATATACTCTGATTTTTTACTTTTATTTTTAAATATGTAAATTATTCTTTATATATTTTATACAATTTATACAATTTGAGTAACTTTGTAATTTCGTTATTATCCTACATGAATAAAAGATTTTACATGTGAAATAACGTATTGTATTTGGTATTATTATGACGTATTTGTATACGGTTTAATTAAATAGCCACAAAATAAGTAGCGATTTGACAAACGCTCAAATGACGAAATAGACGGGCGACTTCTCGTTTCAGAGGAAGAGGTGCCGTTGAACCTCAGCACGAAGCCGAGCGACGTCTCGTCGAGTATCGGCAGCAGAAAAAGTGAAATCTGGTCGCCGGGTTCGGTGTGCGAGAGGGAGGCCAGGGAAACGAGAGCACCGTCCTCCAGGAGTCCGTCCTCGACCCCTATAATTACGCGGCAAATTCATCATTCACCGCTTACACCGCCCTCCTCGACGGAAAGGACTTTTCAAGTGAGTGTTCCTGTATTATACCTCCTTATTCTCACTCGCGCACTTTATCTCGCTTCATCAGACCCTGACCGCTGAAGTTGTTTGCTCCACAAACGCACGGCTCGTTATTTCGACGGAGTATTACTTAAAACAGCAAACTTAATCATGATTTTTGATAATATTGTATAACGATATGACTCTTTTTTTGAAGTGTTTTTCGGAAAGAATTTATTTTGTGTTACTCGATTCGAAGAAATATGAAAAACAGTATGTGGCAGAGTTTCTTGATTTAAAAATCGTCAGATACCGAATTGATATCGAAAATAATATTGTCGTTGTAAAGGAAAATTTTTGTAACGCGGTAGATCGCACGGACAAATCATTGTGAATTCATCGCCATGGAAAGTGGTCGATAGGCTTTCGAGGAAGGCGATATCGGTCCTGGAAATCTCGACTCGCGACTTCCACGATATTCGACGACCCATCGGCAAGTGGACCGCGTACTGTTGCGCGCGTGTCTCGTACGATGCCGATTTTACGAGGTCGACAAACATTCGACTCGAGCTTTTATTGGCGATTGTCTCGAGCTCGTAAAGAAGTTTCGATTTCCACACGCGCGCGACTTGTATCGATCGAACGTCCGATCGCGGCACCCCTAAACATTATATCGCCGGCGGTAATTGGCCCCATCTTAGCGACCTTCCCCTCTGCTCTTTCCCGTTTCTTCCCCCCATTTTAGAGCTTTGATGCGACCTATCTGTTTCCGAGAATCTAACCACACCGTCGTTCTAACTGACAGCTATAATCAACCCATTGATATTAATAGTTTCCTCGACAGAATAGACTACCCGTTGATTGTTTGGATTAATTTTATTTCTGTCTCGCTGGTAATGATTCGTTTGATTACGTTCTAAACCGCGAACATACCTAACTTTCTTCTTGTACATATGTGGAATATTGAAATAATATTATGAAATCAATAAAATGAGAGAATTAATTTTTTTTTAATGATTAATTCTTACGATTACGATGAAAATCGTAGTTATGAATATAAAAAATATAACAAAATATAAAATTAATTAGAAGATTAAACGAGGAGAAACATTTAAAATGGAATTGACCATTCTTGTTCCATCATATTTCCAATCAATATTCCAAAAAAAATTAACTTAGCGATTTTTTAAACGAAGACAAAAGCATTACTCTCGGTCGAATTAATAGTTTATGAGTTGAGCTTCTCAGAACGCGACAGCTTTTCAAAAAGGTCGTCGATGATCGATATGTGGAACTTGATGGTGTCCATTTTTTTACGAGCCACGAGAAAGTGCTTCACGTCAATCTGATGGTCACGTTGATTTCCTTGAAAATCGATATTTTTCTCTTCCAGTCATATACGAAAGTTTTTTTTTCTTACAAAGGAAGAAACACAGTTTATTCAAGTAAATGTTTAAAACATACTTACACAACTCATTCACTTTCCAAATACAGTTATGTACAATTTGTAGCTATTTTAATTTTTATAACAATTAGTAATTATGATTCGTTCCGATCTAACCAATACTATTATAGTAATATTTCTCAAAGCAAATAAAAATGCGATATTCCACCGGGTGACCGAAGAAACTAAATAAATTCTGACGGATCGTTATAAGAGAAGTTGTAATCATTCCATACCACTTTCCAACTGCTTTAAAAGAAACATCGTCAAATGCTCACGTTTAAATTAGACATCATCATCAGAGCCATCAGGCATCTGTTACAACATAGGCATGGTCTAATTAACATAACGAAGCAATCCGGACGGACGAGTTGTCGAACGGGCGTCGCGTCGGTCCAACTTCGACTTTATCGCGGCGCGACCGGCGACGTTTCCTCTCGGTACGCACAGAGGCGACCGAGGTTTTACGCGTGCCTACATACCGGAGCGTAAAACCGGTCGATCTCCGTTCCGTTCGGAGAAAGAAAAAAAAATCGGACTTCGGTTCGGAGTCACGCGATATGAATTTCTTCGGGGCGCGCAAATACCCTTAAGTGCGTTAGGGCGAGGAAACGGGTCAAACGTTTTTGACGAGTACACGGACCTCGACAAAAGACCTCGCCGCCTCAATTACGTGTGATTGAATGGAAGTAGAGAAACTCGCCTCGCCGTGGTTTTACGTTCACGACACGTAACCGTAACTCGACATATTAGGATATGTGGGCCGCACACACGCGCGAGCGTACGGGTGCACTTATATATGCACATTCGAATATATATAAGTGTGTATATACGCAGCCAAATACGTGGTTTTGATGTGAAATTGGATGTTAAATTTTTGATATTACTTAGCCCTCAGACTTAGATTTAGTTTATACCATAACTATTAAAAGACTATTAGTCCTTGAATTAAGGTATTAAGATTGGTTTTGGTATCTGTATTTTGGCGTTTCCAATCCCTTTATGAATATAAATGAAGGCTATTTAGTACAACGTCGTCTTGAAACTTAATGACTGTTTTTGGACGAAGCTAAAAGATCACTTCTTTTTTGATAGAATTTATTTATAGAATTAAGATCACGTTCTTCAAACATATCCGAGATTTTTAATGAAACGACAGATTACGATCTTTCTAAGCGATTCTCACAAATTCTGTCTTTACAAGGCTTAAGTTTAAATCTCAAAAAATGTATTTTTTTTTTAATACGAAACGCATCTAGTCTATCGCGTATTGCAAATATTCGCGATATCATGGTGATTTTAACGATATTTAAGTAAGACGTCCGTGGGAAAGCCGCAGTCTCTCCTTTATTTAATTCGCGCCTTCGTCGACGAGCGACAGATGTTTCGGGCCGGGCACAAAGAGCGTCGCAAGAGATTAACGGTAATTACGCGATTTCGAGGAGCCGCGAATCGTAAGGAGCGCAGAAACTGGAAGGCGGCCGGAGAGCAAGGACATGGGCCGGCAGGCTCGGACTCTTTCTTTCTCTCTCTCTCTCCCGGCTTTGTTTCCGAACCGTACCGGAAGCAGACGCTTTCGTGCGGCGACAATGGCGAGACTGCCTCGCCTCATCCACCTTCCTTCCCACAATCCGCCGTTTCCTTCGCGATCTCTCGACACAGGCGTTTCCGTCGGTGCTTATTAACGAAAACCCTCCCACTATGGCGCCGCTTTCCTTTCCTTTCCCTCGTATCCGCGAACGGGATGACGGTGTCCTATCGTTGACCGCTCCGAGAGCTCCCATCTTGCCAGGTGGACGACAGGAGCAATTAAGGGTGACAATTGTTGTGCGTGGGAGTCTCCATTGTCGTGATCGGTGTACCGGCGACGTGACCATCTTGCTTTAATTACAGTTAAGTGGCAGGGTAGTGAATATATTGTTCTGTCCTTCTTTATCCTGTGTTTTAATTTTTCATGCATATACGAGCCATTGAGCGGAATAGCTTCCTGGAAGACAAAAAACGGGTACGATCGTTACGTTTAAAATCCTTAATGCATAATATGTAAATATAAATTTTGTCGTAAATATACAATGTACGCAAGAAAGCACTCACAATATTGTAGTAATAAACGCAATCTGAATATCATATAATCATTCATTGCCGGTAGTACCTACTCATTCCTATCAATTCTAGAAGGCAAGGATTTAAGATTCACGCGCGGCGATATTAACGCGAAGAAGTCGAATGTCGCGTGAAGACAGGTCTCGCTCTTCCCTATATATATTGATCGCGGCGCAACGTGAATCATGCATACTCGTGCGCGCAATAATATTCCGCGGTTGGCATATTCATACCCTGTATAAATTGCCAGCCTGGACACGCATCGAACCGCACCGTCCGCGTCGGGTGGGTATTGTGACGACTGGCGCCCATGTGACAATGAACTAGAAGAGCGAGAGAGAAAGGGAGAGAAGGAAAGAAGTACGCGCGCGACGCTTCGTGAACACAGGTGTGCCTGGCGTCCCGGCGCCTAGAAGCGATGCGTTTCTTCCATCTCCCTCGTTGTCTGCTTTTATCCCCTTTCTTACGCGTCCGCGGTTGAAAAACAAGAGACTTTATGGCGTTTATGGGAAGTCGCGCCATAAAAGTGCATACAATACATTTTACGAAGATTATAATAATTGGTGTAAGTATTGGAAGAAAGAGATACAAATTTCGGGAACGAGAATTTGGGGAAACAAGGAAGCTCTGGCGAGCTAATTTATTATTACATTGTTATTATAATGCAACACAGACATTTTTAGATATTTTTATTATATAGATAAATGGAAAGCGTAAAGGTTAAATTCGAGAAATTACCATACATAATCGAAGTGATCTCATTAATAAATGCTGAATGAACATTAATATGGGATATAATATGTACAATATATAACATATAACATGGAACAGATTTCCATAAGATTGGGAAGCGTACAGAATCGCGAAAAGAATTTTCTTGTGAGGGATGCAATCAATATCGCGTGCGAAAACACGAGCTGTCCAGGAGAAATTGATAAATTAGCTACTTAACGGTTTAACAGTTGGACGATGGTGATTTGTCAGAAAAAGGAAGTTCCTCTTAACGACAGAATGGAAATCTATGATTTCTCATTATTAGATTTGAAATCAATAAAACTATATTTTCAAATTTCTGCACACGTAAATGCTAAAATATTAACTAATTATTATTCTAATCATTATCATGTGATTTATGTGGAACCGAAAAATAAACTCATTCTGTTTCTATTTAATTAAAAGCATAATAAAAAGTAACCAAATTGTAAGGAATATTTTGTATGTACAATATTTGTAGGGATGATTAGATAGTTTTACTACATTGACATAACACTAAGGTAAACCAATTGCTTTGTTTGTTACAATAGTGCAAGCAGTGCGGGAAGGCCTTCAAACGGTCAAGCACGCTCAGCACTCACCTGCTGATCCACTCGGACACGAGACCTTATCCCTGTCAATATTGTGGCAAGAGGTTTCACCAGAAGTCGGATATGAAGAAGCACACCTACATCCACACCGGTGAGTTCTCAGTAATTCAATTCACTACGATTCGATTTTTAACGTGTTAACGATTTTTCACTACGATTCGATTTCTAATTGCATAATTAATTCATCGTGAATAAATTAGATAGAAAAATTAAAAACATTACTTATATATCGTTACATTGAAAGTTTATTAATATACATATATTCAAGCAAATAATTCTAAAATAAAATGAAACTTCATAAAAAAGTTATGTATATGTATATAGCTCTCGCTAATGTCCTACATAGCTCGATAACATCAAGTCTCAGAAATTATACTGAATTGATCTCTTTGTCTGGCCAGCTTCAGACTTTTCTAAAGAGAGATTATAATGCGTTAACCGGACAAAGCAGGGGGGACCATATGACAAAGTTTCGGCATACGAGGGTATTGCGTGAGCATCGATAATTGCGATCGTCAGTAACAAGCCTCTACTTTGTATATCTAATTTTTACGTTGCGACTATACTCGTATAGCCCAAGTTTTGTCCTCGGAATTACAGCTTGTCGCGTGTTCTCTGTTAAACTTCTTCTTTCTCCGCGGTCTTCGACCAAATGTTGCTGCTGCATACCGCCGATCGATAACTACAATTGCTGGTAACGAGCGTCTGTCCTTAGTCTCTACATCCAAACGGAAGACGCAAAGCGAACAGTTAAAAATAGTTTCAATAGCAGGACACCGCAACGGCTTTCTCTTTCTACTACTAAATCACTGAAATAATCAATCGATATTTAATATATTTAATATATTTTTTATTTTTTATCGTAGAAGATACTGTCTTCGCGATAATATATTAATTTCTCAGGCAAGTACTTGAAAATGAAATAAAATGTATAATAATAATCTTGATATTACTAAAATTTTATGTTACTGATTATATTCAATGCTCGAAATCTAGTTATATTATTTTCTCGATGCTTGAATTACAGAATTTAATATCATTATTCTTTCATATACTTTATCATGCATCTCGAAATGCATAACATTCTGCGCGTTACTTGGAACAAAAGACGCGCGATCGCGAAGTCCTCGGTGGGTGGTTTCCGAATTATTTATGAAGTCTGCCTTGTTGCCACCGTGGTAGACCACTTTGTACATTATTGAGAACATTGGTGTCCTGTGATCGGCAAAATGTTCGAACACAGGTCGCGCACGCAGGTCATGGAACGAAAACCGAAAGTATCTACTTTTTAGTTTCCATACTCTTAGAGAATAACGAATAAAGTTTGTTGAAAATCCTAACGTTCTGATTTTATATCATAAAACGTATTTATTTTAAATTATTAATCTCTATGAATATTTTGTTAGTAGTCTCTCGAAAACATTTTAAGACAGTTTAATAAAAAAAAAAACAGCACGAAAAAAGTAATTGTCATAATTTCATAAAATAGGTTTGACTGATCTCTGATAGATTGAATCTATTAGTATATTTTTGAGATATAATGATTTCTTATGAATCAAATAATATGCATATTTTTTATAATATGGTTATTAATATGAGAAAATTTTATAAATAATAAACTAAAACATTTGCGAATTAAACAATTCTTTCGCGCGGTGTAAATTATAACAAATTAATTAAGACCTTATGACATTATTACTTGATTCATTAAGCGTAATACACCTCGTATACGCTATTTGCAGAGAGCACTTGCAAAAAATCGCATTTGCTTGATGCGCGTTATCGCGTAAATGAGATTGCGTTTCAACGCGCATCCGTTCGATCAAGCGCGACGAAAAACGAAGGGACAACGGACTCGCGACCGCACCTTTGTAACGACGCACACGCGTTTAAAATGTGTGCGACCTGCGGCGCATCCTCAATAGGGTGTCTCCCACGAATGTCGCACCCACGTCTCTACGCGACTGACCCTTTTCGCATATGAAAGAATCACGCAGAAGGCATATACGCGACACTAGGAATCGATATCGCGTCATCGCGTACTTTAGATAGAAAGTGGAAATAGAGGAGGGACAACGTATAAATCTAGCTTTCGTCATGCTCCTTCCATGGCCAATGAGGGATCTCAAATGGAATTTTCAAAGACCTTTTCTAGCAATGTCCCGTACAATAAACGAATAAAAAGGATAATACTTGTCCCGAAGTTGAATTGACGTAGTCTTCTAGCGTTTATACCTCACGAGGGTAGACTATTAACGCGTCGTTAAACTTCACATTGCCATTTAATTTGCGACATAGAAACGACGCTGCCGCGATAAACGATAAGGGGCAAATCACTTGCTAAAATCTAGCTACGCAAAATGCGCGCTGTCATCAAAACTGCTCTTCGCCGTTTCATTCGATAGCGATGGATAGGACAATTATCCTCTTTTACAATAGAAGTCAGAAAAAAATGGATTGGCATGCAATCAGATTAGCTCCGGATTTGATTCATTTGAGGTTTGTGTGTCGCGGAAGATCCAAACGCGAACACGCACATTGCCCGCAATAAATATATCGGCAGATCATCAAGTTATTTCGTATGAAAATCGTGTCTCGTCACGCACACTCTTCCACGATTTTTTTTTCCTCTCGCCATGAAAAATCGTCGGAAATAAAAATTAATTCGCCGTATATATCAAAATTTGTTAGGAGCGATCACGATTATCGCAAAATCGTTGTTATATTTTAAAAGAGATAATTAGTTCCGTCAATTTACTAAGTAAAAATTCTAAATATTTTCCCTATGTATACTTTTTAAATGGTATTTATAAGACAAAATTAATTAATTAATCATCGTGATGGTTCAATAATAATTCAATAATAATTTATTTTTTGTTTTGATACGATTTAAAAGATTTTAATAGAAAAAAATATCATGATATCATATTTCATATACATAAATTGTTTCGTGACATAGAATGAAGTAAAAAGAATTTATTATGTTTCGCGATATTATGTGAAACTTGGTAGTTAGTGAAATTCGACCTTTGTTCCTCGAACGCGATGTAAATTCACAAAATGACCCAAGATTAATATTTGACGAATCATTCGCGATATTGAGGGTGGCTTCCGAGCGGCGATTTGTTGCCACATACAGAGAGGTAATCTTCAGACGAGAAATGTATTTGTATGGCGTCGTATGAAAAATGATCGTGTATATCCTCCCTCCGAGTGTACCTAACGAATGGCCACACAATCGCAGCATGATTTTTCCACAACTGCGGCTTATTATCGGTAATTTCTTGCAGAGAGAAAAATAACTACTCGCCGCATCTTAATGATAACTTTTTTACAGAGATACGTAGATTTGTTGTTAAAATGATTACATAGCGTTTTGAAATATTCATAAAATACAGCATTCTATTTTGCGTTCTGTACGTTTATTGCATTATATTATATATCTAGCCGCTAGAATTACTAGAGGAAAATAAGAAATTTTGAGGTATATTTTAATATTTAAAATCGTAGATGTGGATAAAGTAGTCAGTCAATAAAGTAATTTTAGAAATTTAAAAGAGAGAAATATTGTGAAAAAGATTTTTCCTCCTGTAGAAGAAGATGAAAACTAAAAGTGCAAGTGATCTATTTGTATATGAAATATTGAAATATGCCATTCTTGTTATTGTAAATCTAAATATTGGATGTCCCACTAAGACAGTCATCTCAATGAAAAAGTATTGTAATTATTAATCGAAAACGTTTCGGCAATCGGCCCACACATTGAGATTGAGCCATAAATTGAATCCCCGCGTGTATCAAGTAACGCGTGATCTGATTCAGACCTTCCCCCCTCGGTGTAAATTGCGGGCCCGGCCGTTTTTCTTAAGCGACCGTCCCGCGGCAAAAGCAGGACATGAAAGGAGGCGCCGATCAGGAGCGATAGGGACACGTTTTAATGGCGATTTAATCAGCTGCTTCGGCCACGTTTTCTCGTGGAAACGGCCGGAAGGAGCGCATGCACGATGGGAAACGGTCTGTTTGTCGCGCGCTAAGCGAGTTTCCGGCACGCCACGTGCCCGACACGGGTCGTCGTGGGGCATGCGTGTCCCGCGCTAATTAGCGGCTAAGAGAACAAGCCGCTCGTCGTCGTGGGTTATGGGGAACTACCGAGAAAGGGAGCAATAGCACCCTCGAATGCTCGAGGAACTCGCTCTAGCCACTTTGTACTCTCTACGTTTCTCCATGAGGGGTGAACGTAATGCGAATTTAATCGACCCTTCTCGCAGCGACTTTCCGCTACCAATTTCATTCTCTCTCGTAACGCAGCACCGCGACGGACAGTCGGAATACTCGGGATTTACATTTTAATTATACCTTCAAAGGACGATGACGTAAAAGAATTTGATTAAGTTAAGCCGCATCCAATTAAACAGACGAACATTTTTTTTCTATGGAATAAGATTCAAAGTTTATAGATAATTTAAATGCTGTCAAATTTCATGATAAACCTATACAAAACGCAGTGCATTGTTTAAATTCATTTTCTCGAATTGATAGGTTTTACGTTTCTTAGAGAATTTAATATATTTCTTATTTGTCGCTTTAATAAATTACAAGAATTTATTCTATAACGGCAATGATATTTTTCGCTTGATCACAATTTTTCATATCGTTATATATATATATTATATATTTTTTAAAGTTAGTCAATACCTTAAATTAAAGTGCAAATAATCAGCGGACAGAAATGTTTTCGTATTACATATAATGAGGGAAGATAACGTAGAATGTGTGGGAAATAAATATATTTTTATCATTTAAATATCTTCAATATACGAATCACCGACGTTTAAAACAATTTTCAGAAAAGCTTGTGCAAGCTCGTACGTCATCAAACTCCTTGAAATATAATTGCGGGTGATAATGAACTTATTAAAGCTTATTATAGACGCAATTTGTGGTTCAAATTTATGGCAAAAGCATGTACCTTAAAATGACTCAGTCATTCAAAGTACATTTGACTGTTCATATAATAATACTCGCTATAGTAACAATACAATGGGTGACATCATCATCATCGAAGTAAAATCGATCGGCGTAAAAAATTTT